CTTGGTTCCTTGACCCTTTGAACAAGAAAATCTGTCAGTTAGTGAAGGAAGGCATATCTATCTATATATTGGGATGCGTACTGAGTTGTTAAAGAAGTACTTGAGCCAATAATTTTGAATCTCAAGATAGAAGTCTTTTGCTACCCAGTGACCATCTCGGCCACCTGTGGGAATGAGGAGCGAATGTTTTATGGCTTTGGACAAAGCGCTGGGTAAGTTTTTTTCGAGTATCATGATGAAGCGAGGAAGATGAATTGCGTAATGTGAGAGACCAGACGTTCCCTGGGCCATTACAGCCCACCGCTTCCACATCAACAGCACTCGGCCAATGTCACCCGATCTCATTGCTTTGTCACCTTCAACAATGGAAGCAAAGTCGCGAAGTCTGAGACGCATGTTATACATTGTCCAGTCCCCGGTTTTTGAAGCATCTTCCAAAGACTGACGAGTGAAGTACTTATCATAGCATTGGTCAATGATAGATTGAGCTACGCCGGGTGTTTCCAACGTAGAGCCAGTTGGCAACGCTTCGATGGTTTGCCTGAACATTAAAGGCAAAGGTCAGATCTTATGTGAGATATACATACAGAGATCTTGGACATACTTCAACAAGAACACCATTGTTGCTGTGTGACCTTTATGAATAACTTGCATCAGCGAGTTGAAATCTTGCTGTGATGGTTGCTTGTCAGTTTTCATTCCAAGCGCAGCGGCAGTCCTATGTAACCCAGTGTTTGAGCTGTCCCTTGGTTCACCCCAGTGGTGACTTAAAACCTTACTTGCAATGTTCCATAATGTATGCGATAGGCCGGGAAGGTTGAGAACGTTCTGTAAGGCCTCGTCCTGGTGGCCTGCTGGGAAACGTTGACGTATGAGCGATTCAAAATTGAGGCAGGTGCCCATGTCGCCCTCTATAACTTGCAGGGATTCACTGAATATGGATGAATCGTGACCGGTCTGCTTGTTACACTGGGTAAGCATCTCGGCAACTCCTGAAGCCGAGTTGTCAGAAGCACTCATCATCTTCAGCATGTAGATATTTGGTGTGTACAATTCGATTGGTTCAATGGGAGGAGGTGATGTAAGTAATTCCCTTTTAGAACAAAGATAGCCCGGCGAGTCTTTTTTGAGGACGTAATTAAGGAAGGCTTTGGAGAGCTGGGATTTGAGCACACAAGTCCAATGGATGCTTGCTTCTTCATTGGGAAGCAAAGAAGATATTTTGAAGGGCTGCGCTTGGCTTTGGCAAACATATTTTAGAAGATTATCAACACTGGCTTCCGCTGGGTCCATATCTTTGACTAGATGATCTGGAAGGACGTGTAGATATCCATATGAGCCATGAAACATCTTTGTGGTTGCTTCGATGCGAGGATCGTGCACACGAGCTTGTATGTTGATGTTGTCGAGTACTAAGAAAGGTCGGATGGTGTAAGGGAGCGAACACATGTGTTTGATAGACTTTTCAGCGGCAAGTCCAAGAGTATCCATAGCTGACAGAGCTGTCTGTCTTGACGAGGTCAATCCAAGGAAGTGAAGATAGTCATTCACACAATCGGAGACTCCACATGCAACAAACAACAGGGAGTTCTGTAATTGCAAACCATTGAATCGTCTGTTACAAGCAAAAGCTATCATGGATAACACTGCAATGGGAATCTACGTTTGAGGGTTGGAATAGTCAGAATGGATCATCAAGTGTTCAGGAGATGATCTTGCTTACTTGTCTGAGTCGATGAGAGTCTAAATTTGTGTTGTCCATTGGAACCGAATGCGAGACTCCCTCAAGATGTTCAGGAAAGTCGGCCTGATGACCTGAAGTGGCAGTTGGTTTGACTTCAGCCCCTTTGCTGGTTTCTTTGGATGCTTTGTTCAATCAAATTTTCTCACGAGCTATGTTAGAATCTTCAATTTTTGAGTATATCAATGCATGAAGGAAAGGCATGCTCTCGCGAATGAGGTTTGCACGGTTCTCTTCAGCTTGAGGTGCCAAGAAAGATTCATCTATTTTATTAGCACTGTAGAAAGCACCTTGTGGACCGGTTCCTCGTGGTAGCTCTTCTTGATTGACAATGAACTTTGCCTATAAAAATGATGAGCTTGTCATTATCAATGTCTTGACACAATTATTAGATTTTTGTTCTGCTTGAAGAAAATGGCTGACCTCTCTCAGGATGAAATTATTCCATCTTTCTATATCAGTCTGATCAGACCCATCCAAGATTCGCCGCTTGATGCTGAGCAGGATCTTCTCGGTTGAGGACCAGCCTCTTGATGTGCCCCAAAATTGACGCTTCTTGATAATCTCAGGTTTGGTAGAATCGAGTAAGTTTTGTATGAATTTTTTCGGATCTGACCCCATCTTTTGGATATAATCACATATGTCAACTGTACGATTTTTGGATTTTGCTGGGTTGTTTTGGTCTTCTTGTGCTTCTGCCCCGTGTTGGGCTTCTTGGGGTTCTTTGCCCGCTGGCAGGATACTGGTTGGTATGTTGGTAGAGGACATGTTTTGATTGTGAGGATTTGAATGAGTAATCAAAAATTGGATCAAGGAAGCAGGTGCTTGAGAAGAATTGAAGATCAAAGATGAATGGGCAAGAGCCAAAAGGCCACGAGAAAGGGAGACACAAGATATATAGTGATAGAACAAATATTAATAACTTCCTGCCTAGGTAGCCCAAGTCATTGCTCAGCCAGCCTTGCTGGTCTACCTGTCAATCACCGGGCTCTAATCTACTTGTACTTTGATGACATGGTTCAAGAGAAGGTCCTAAGAGCTGGCTGGAAATGTCTAGACCGGGCCAGACAATCTTGAATTGTGAAGGCTCACAACTTTTGATGGATTCCAAATTCGGTTTTGAGATTACATACACAAACAACAAGTGTAACCTCGCAGCAATTCAGAAAACCCAATTTCGAAAAGAGCTCATTTGGAGCCCAATGAAAAGTTTTTCATTTCACAAAGAAGGAGAAATGTGAGCGGAGGGAAAGATGCGCAAGAAGCCGGCACACAGCATATTGGAGATACAAGAAATTTCATAATTAGACAAAAAAAAATTATTGGTGGACCTTTTTTTACCACCAAAAGTGAATTTACCTCGTCACCAAGAAAACGGACATTGCATGTAAGTCCCCTCTGTGCCTCCGGGGTTTGTTGCGTTTTTTTCCCCCGGGCACTAGGAGGGGGCTTAGTTAAGTTAGGGGATTCGGAATCACAATTTACCACAAGAATGTGATCCAATTTAAGAAGGCAAAACCAATTCAAACGTTCAATGCATACAGCTGTCAGCAGGCCTATCAGTTCAAATTACAAACTGGTGATCTCTTCTTGTTTCCTCACCCACTTGAGAGATATGCATAGGGTATTTACCCTGGTCAATGAAATTGCATGGCTCCATGTCCATCAAGTCCTCTTCTCAACCTAAAGCAAGTACTGATTCCCATTGTAATTTTCAACAAGTATACCAGGAGAACCACAAGTGCGATCAGTTGTTTGGATTGATCATCAGATTCATGGCCTTGGGGAAGGTAAGTTCTCAAGAACTTGTAAAGCGGAAGCATGAAGCCCTCCTTCTCATCTAACAAACAAGCTTACTTTCGTGACATGAATATGTAAAATCTAGTGTAAAGCAAAGTGAAGAATAGCTACACGCCTGAGCATATAGAGATCTGATCGCAAGATATTCTATTGGCGAAAACCACGCATATCACAAGGTGTTCAAAGCTGTGGGTGTTGAAGTATAAACAGTTGAAGACCTCAGGGTTGATTTATGAAGATTATCACCTGGGCTCAGGGACTGTGTACGTCAGGACTCCATAATGCATTGGACTTACAGTGTTAAATAAATAACAGTGTCTGGACTCTGAGATAGAAAACAAGTCAATGTAGACTCAGTCAAATCTCTACAACATTTGCAACAAACATAATATGTCAGATAAAATCTTATCTCAACACAGAGACTTCCATCTTATGAACAAATTGAGTATGTATCTACAAATGATATCAATGAAAGAGTATCAAGGGCTTAGCCAACAAAGTTGATCAACCGGCCTGCGGAGGTGAAAATCCTGTTGAAGCCTTCTGTCACCGAGCAAAATAATGTCATGAACTTGGCCATTTGCTCTGTGCATTTGGTGATTTGCACCCTTACATACAACTTGTTATGAAGACCAAACATATTCATGGATGATACCATGTGACTTGACTAGATGTCCAAATTGACTGAATTGAAACTGTGCGTTTTTGGACCTGCACTTTGCCTGAACCCCATTGACTATCACTCTGTGTGGGCACTGTCAGAAAATCATGTAAGTTATCCAAATCAAAGAAATGAGAATTCTTTACCCTCAATTTTTTTTTGTCAATTCCCTAAGATCCTAAACAAAAATATCCACCTCCTTCAAATCCTTTGATTTTTCTTTTTCTTTTGAATACAAAATGAAAAACAAACTCTTACAACTCTCAAAAACCAAGTAAAATTTTTGAAAAAAAAACTGAAGAAGAAGAAAAAGATTCAAATTAATTCAATTAATTGAATTTCTTTACACAAATCAAATGATACAAACAATCAAACCCACAATACTTCAAAACCAAAAGAAAAATCGATTTCAAAATAAATCATCATAAATAATTCTACCAAAAAAGAAGAAGGAAAAAAAATGTCTTGTAATGAAAAATAAATAAATAAATAAAAGAATGATTTAATGTAGATAAAAAAAAGAATGATTTAATATAACATATGTATATTGGTGTTGAGAGAAAAGGTTTATATAAAAGTAGGTATTAAGCATATATAAAAGAAAAAAAAAACAAAGACAAAAAAACAGTGAGAGGAATCTTACAACAACAACAACAACATCATCATCAGAAAAAAAAAGAGAAACATATTGAAGTTGATATAAATTGATGTCTATAAAATACTCTCCAACTAAACCATCATCTATTTCAATTTATTTAATTATTTCTTTTTTTTGGTAGGTTTTTTTTCGGGTAAGTTTTACATAAGAGCTGTACATGTTGTGATCGTTTCAGATTGAGGTAAATCATGTGGTCTAAGAGTTGAATGAGGTGAAGAAGATCTAATGATCATATCAGCTGTTGATCCTTCACATGAATGTCTTCGTAAGGTTTGTTTAGGTCTTCTAGGACTAGGTTGAATTGAAAACCCTAGAAAAAAAGAAGAACAAAACTTTGATCAGATTCAAGAACAAGAATCCAAAAAAGTCAAAAAAAAAATGAAATAAACGTACCAGGAGAAGCCGCTCCTAATCCAATACTAAAGCCTCTAACTCTATGAATTTCACCTTCATTTAAAAACCTATGAATAAGTTTATCAACCGTTTGATGATGTCTTCTATGAGAAGGTAAACTCATTTGTCTATTCAATTCGATCACCGCTGCACTTCTACCTTCTTCACTATTATCAAAACTAGTGTCCATAAAAGTAGGAGAAGTAGGTGAAAAGGTTTCAGTACTGTTCAAGAGAGGTGTAGCTTCGTCTATTGGATTTGAGGTTTGGATACCACCTGTTTCGGGATCTTCATTGAAACTTGAAGATGATGAAGCTATGATGGATGAACTGGATGAGGTTGTGGTACTTGAAGTTCCTAGACTTACTATCCAGACCCCAGCCAGTAAAATTATGGTACCTAAAACTATCAATCCTACTTGTAAATCACTTAGTAACTTGAATTGATCATAATAAACTAAACTTGTGATTATACTAGAAAGATTATAAAAACAAAAAGCTAAAGGACAAATCAAAGTTGGATTAACTAATTTAAGTGCTTTGTTAAGATACCAAAGTTGTAGGATTGCTGAGATTAACAAGATGAGTAAGATGAGCCAGGTTTGGAATTTCTTGAATTGGTTTTCATAACCTGTGAGAGTTAGGATGAGTAATTCGACACCTGTTTTGGCGAACAAGAGACAGATTCCTGATAATGTTCCAGAGGTTGAACCGTAAGCTAGACCAATGAATAGTTTTGTACGAGCTATCAGATGGGGTGGAGGGAGTGATTCGTTAAGGTCTTTGGATTGTGATTTGTCTGTTACTGGTGCTTGAGTCTTGTTTGGATCGTATGCATTACTGAAGACATCATCCGATTCATGGCTTTCTTGGACTGGCGAAATCGAGAGAGGGCTATTGGAAAAGGCATCGTTTGCAGTAACGACTGGATTAAGAGTAGATTGAGGTGTTGGTAATCGATTGATTGGAACTGGATCACTTGAAGAACGCGAACGACGAGGACGTAATCGAAATGGATCACTACTTCGATCAGGTAATAACATTCCATGAATCGAACGATGTTGAGTTTGAGAAGTCTTTAAACATGAATTTTTAATAGGTTCTTCTTGATGATGAGTTTGAACAAGTTCCATTGATCCCAAAATCCGTAAATGACCATTTAATCTAAACTCAGCTGTATGAGCAAAAATACAAATCATTGAAAATAAAAATACCAAGATTGACATTTCAATCAAGAATGGAGTACGAGAATATAGAATGATTAATTCATCTAACGTATGATTCATATCACCAGGTAAGACTCCAAAGATTCCAATCAAAATTGCACCTGCACCGATTAATAAAGTACCAAAGATAAGATGATAAGAAAACAAATCACCTAATAAAACTTTAGCTAGGATCGCATTCCATAAAAGACTAATTGCACCTAATGGACCCAAGATGATTAAAGGTAGAGTACCGATTTGAAAAATCGAACCCAAGATATTAAACGAAAAGTAAATGATAAATCCCATTAACCAAATCGGTCTTGCATAATCAGGTTTTCTTAAATGGAATGGTAATTGATCGTTTTGTAAATGAGATTTACGTTGGATTGTTAAGCCTAAGGATTGGATAAATGAAGCTATTAATCCAATGGTAATTCCAACAGCCAAGTTAAATTGAACTGGTTGATTTGGTTCTGGTATGTCTTTCGTGATGAATTCTAAGATGGGTTGAGATTGTGAATTGTTTAAGAGTATAAAGGTTTGTTGATCCATGGTGATTTTGAATTCTGGTTGGGTCGGTAAGGATGATAAAGTGTTGCAAATGTTAAGAATCGTTTGTTATTTGAAGTTGTGAATTAGTTTGTAGTCGTGAAGTAAGTGTTGATGAGAATGAGTTTTGATGAGTCGATTGTTGTGAGTAAAGTCAGAGCGAGAAGAGGTGAGGCAGGGTGAGATGGTCAAGAGGGTCAACCGAAGGGGTTCAAATTCAAAAATCATATTTTAACTTTAACCAATCAGGCAATTCATCATTCAAATTCAAACCATCTGATCAACAATCTCATCTTTCCCCTACATCTCATAAAACAAAACCATTCCAACATATCAATCAGAAACAAACCCTTGAAGTTTCATAACAGAAGTGTTATCCCTTGTATTGATCAAAACATCACCAAGACACGGTAAACAACATCAGCTTGGTCATACTCACGCATAGATCATCAACACAGTTCCAATTTTGGATTCATGAGGCATGGCCTAAGATGTCTCAGAGCTGGAATCGAATTTATATAGAGTTTGGAGCCACCAAAAGAAATATTTAAAGAAAAAACTCACTGGAAATCCTGCTGGACCCACACTAAAATTTAGACATCAGCCATCATTATGTTTCTCAATGCCTCGTGATCAGGCTCCAATATTGTAGCTGAGAGTGAGTTTGTTGAGTTTATGATGGCACGAAGGTTTCAGAGTCACACATCATACATACTTCCCTTCAAGGTGAACATGAAAAATGGAATACTTATAAGTCTCTTTCTTTTGCCAATAGACCACTGCCAAGACAAGGCCCTATTTACGGGATACAAATCCGGCCCCGTGCCCCGCCCAAACTGCGGCCAAAAAAGGGATTCCGGGATTCTGGCCACAAGCCCAGTCACACACCTGGATTACAACTTTGTATCCCAGAAGTGTCTAAGGAGTTCTATGACTGTGTCTCATCTTTTCAAGGGAAATATTGGTCTGAAGAGAACACCAAATGTAAGGAGAGACTATCAGATTGAGGTTAAAGTAGAATGAGCAAAATCAAGAAATTAAATCAATAGTCAAGTCTAAGATTATCTTGAGTTTGATTTACCTATCACCATTCTCAAAATCCCCAATCAAGGTAGCCAAAGCATTCTTAATTGAAAAAAAGATGCTTCATAGTATCTCTTTCCCAGAATTACTTACATGATGGACCTTCACGATCAATACTATGAGATATGACTCAGAGATATGTTTCCTTGGTCCTTACTGGCCACCTTTATCTTGGATCACATGAGCTAAACTGAGTCAAGCTTATTGGGTAGTATGTGCATTATCATACCAACGGTGCACATATATCAATGTAGGGAATATTACTATTATAGATAATGGTAGGTTGTACCACTCCAAATATGGTCAAGATAGTGGTACATTGTGGTACAAGCTTGACCTTGGCATGGATATTTGTCATGATGCCTCTGAGCCCATAGAAAGTATCTTACTAGATCAAATATACCTCATGCACATCAGAGGTTGAAAAGGGGGTGTGTTGATTCACTCATTTTTTTGCTTAGATTGATTTGTAAACAAAAATTGTAACATACATTAAGCGATTCATGTATGTGGATAACTTTTCAGGACAACAAGTAAAAATCAAAATATTCAAGAGTGAGTTTGAACATAGAATTATTTTGCATGATTTTCTACAATATTAGGCTCAAGTTCTTTTTATAAAATGTCAAGAATTGAGAAATTAAAGGATCTTCACCAGAAGAATTCAAAAGTTGAGATTCTCGATCTATCAAAAATTCTTCTACAGCAATAATACTCCTTTTCAAGTCTTTACAGATCAAGTGTTCTAATTTGATTTTTGATTCATCTGAAGTGAATTCTTTGTTAATTTTTAAAAAGAATTCTAGACCTAAATATGTTTGATGGAACTTTATATCAGCTTAACAGATGGATTTTGTTTTTTTAAATCAAATAAGGCTTTGAAAAGAACCTCACAATTGAACCAAAACTCAAGAATCTTTTTCTTTTCTTGAAAATTCCAACTATCACCAAAGATTGTGATACCATTGAGTCCAAGATGTTTTTGAATTGTAAGAAATTCTTCAACCTTTCTGTTTTTCCAAAATTTAAGTATTAGAATCATAATATAAGAAAATTGTTGGGTAATCAAAGATGTATTGATTAAAGATACTTACACCTCATTTTCCAAAGATTGAATGTATGTCACAATTCTATTGGTATATGACCTTGATTCCTTATCAGCCCAAGACATAAAGATATTACCACCTTGTGTATCCTTGAGAGGGAAGAGATGAGATGTCTTTATCATCCTTGTGAGAATGACTTGTGATTCTAACACATCCTGAAATCCACCCTTCACCCTGACATAAAGACTGAAATCTTTTTGAATTGTACAGCTATCAGTTCAGGTTTTGATATTCCTCTTGACCAAATGGTTGACCTACGTACTTGATATCCAGAATTCAAAGAGTTCTCTATGATAGCTTGGAGGGCAATCACTAACTAGAGAGATCCCATGATCACCTAAATTCTTTTGCATCTTTGAAAAGTTTACAATGTCTCTATATGACCAGGAATATTAGTTCTACTTATAGCTTAGATTGGTAAGGTCAAAGTTGATCAAAGGATTCAAATATTTTCTTACTTTACTGATTTGAGTAGAGAAAGATGAGTCAAAATCTTCATCTTATATAATTCAATAGTTTTATCCATTCCAAGCCTTAAGGAATGAGCAGATGTGAGTGAGTGAGTACTCATATTGTTCAATTGATACAAGTTTACCAAGAAGCTCAAAATCATTTGTGATGATTCAATTGAGAGATCCTTCAAAGTTGATAAAAGATTCAGACATTCTAACATAAAAAGTTTTTGAATTGTTTTGTGAACAGGATGAACTGTAGGTTGGATTGGCGGTGTTGTAAGTACTGTGTGAGTATATTTGATCAACTCCTTGCTCCAAGATTCTGGATTTGATGATAGGATATCAATGAGACCACTCTTGATGATGTTTGCAAGTATGCCATATTGAGGTTTGTTGTCAAAAGCTATGATGGATCAATGGTGGGTTGTCAAATGATATCCTCTCTCTCAAAGATTTTCAAAAGTGCACACCCTTATGAGCATGTTGAACCAGTTGGTTTGACAAGTCTGGGTGAGATGCTATTGCTTTTTATGTATCACAAAGTTGTTTATAAGCAAATATCAGCGCTTCTGTGAAGGCTGGGATAGATTGGATCATACTCCCCAATGGAGCGTCAATTGAAAAACTGACCTTCTTCTACTGTCAGTGGTGCTTTTACCATTTGTTGCACATCATCTAATTTTGCTATCAAACCTGGATATCCAAGGGTGGATAGCTGTAAGTGAAGTATTACCAACATGATGAGGTATAGGTACAAGCTCTTCATCTTTATCCGCACTGTCTTTCAGAATTATGGTGTGAACTTCAAAAATGAATTTGCTGTAAGTGTGAAAGAGATGTTTAATGAAACATCAGCATGTTTTTCTTTTTCAAGAATTTTGGAGTTTGACTCCAAATGTGTTTTCAAATCCTTTGATGTTGGTACGTCTAGAAAGATTTTTTTCAAGAAGAATAAAAACATACCTGTCACAGTGGTAGGTCTAAACCCAAAGATTTGACCTGGAAAAAAACCCAAAAAGTTTGTCAGTAGGTTGGTGTTTTTTTCAAACCTTTGATCCATTCAAATTATGACGGGCTCCTGGAACACAATCATGATATGTATATGTTGTCAAACATGAACATCTCAATGGGAAATCTTACAGATTTACAAATCTGTGATATACACAGGGTTCAAATTCTACACTTCCAACTTGTTAGAGAAGCATTTTTGATGATTGTGTCAAGGTTCATGCTTGTTTGGTGTCAGGCTCTGTGTGGTGTACAGCTTAAATGAACAGTAAAAGTAATCAGCATAGCTGTTGTGAACACAAGCTCAGGGTCACCACTTAGACACGCCAAAAGTTTTACCATATCAAAACACAATCAGTTAATTGCTCTTAACTTTGAATGTCCTTGACTGCTCCATGGCTTGCCAGCGTGGTTGAGAGAATGGACTTGGGCTCACACTATTCCCTTGTGCTTTTGGGCAAAGCCTCCTTTTGGGACATTTTTCAATGAGTAAGATGCTTTTGCAAGTTAATACAACTAAATCCAATAGAGGAGATCTGTTGATTGATGATGTTTCCACTAAATCAAGTCATGGAAAAAGTTTTAATAAGCCATATTGGTGTCACAATTGCCTTGGTCTTGGTTGACTGTGGTTTGAGGAATTTGTGTCTAAAGTCAGTTGAAGGCAATGTTCTTCTTCCTTGTCATTTTGGAGCTCAAAACCCCCCAAAAATGAACCATGAGCTAGTCCTTTCTAGTATGCCATACACTTGATAATTGTATATACAGCACATTTATCAATGTGGAACTGATTGGGTTTATAAGTGCAGTCGATCACTTTGATGAGATGACCAATCAATTTGACACATTGCGGCTCTATGACCTCACTATGATGTAACATTTGGAACAAGATTTTTAATGAGCTCATTGAGATCAACCTATGGATCTTGCAAGATAGTTCATCTACTGTAACTTTTCACCTCAAACTATCAATGACTTACAATCCTGCCTGCACCTCAAGAATATAAAGCCTCAGGCCTCCTTGACCATATAACATTCTTTACACCCCATCCAAGTTGAGAAAACTCAATCAAAAAATTACTTACTAAGTACAAGTATTGGATCACTCTTGATACCAAACATAGATGACTACCTTGCTAACATGTTGAGAGTATAACAATTTGGACCCTGTGATATTTTATGTACTTGATGGAGGATCTGTTGAGCAATTATATGTGGGTGATATAAATCTTGGCGACCTCTCATAAAAAGGATGGTTGTGATAGAGACTTGCACTCAAAGCCAATGTATCCATAGAGATATTGAAATACAAACATTGGAAAACCCATCTGATTGGTTTGACAAAATACATTCACCTTCCTGATTGATGAAAAGGATGATAATCATCTGGGCCAAATTCAGAAGAAAGATGATAGGAATTGTGAGAGTTTTAATACCAAATCCTACTCATAAAGGTTGAATCATGTCAGTGATGTGTCCCTAAAGTGATAACTTAATGGCTCTATGAATATTTAAAATCATCCAATAAGAAATGCCAAAAATGGAGTTGTAAAAGAGTTGTAACATGAATTGCACAAATTATCACCGCAGATACATGCAGGGCAAGAAACAAAGTGCTGATGAATGAGTTGAATAACCGGACTCTCATATATGTTTCTCTACAATGGAAGGCTGAACATTCTTGTAATAAAAAGTACAGAATTGAGGAAGTAAAGGATCTTTACTAGAAGAATTCAAAAAGTGACCTTCCTGACTAAAAAATTCTTTAACAGCCATGATGGTTCCTTTCAGGTCTTTGCATATCAAACTTTCTAATTCAATCTTCATTTCATTTGAGCTAGATTCTTTTCTAATCCTTAGAAACAGTTCCATAGCTGAATGTTATAATGATGTCAGTTGGTCAAAGAATCACCTTTCTTTATAACACTGTTACACAAAAGACTCACAATTGAACCAAAATTCAAGAATTTTTTTCTTTTCTGAAAAATTCCAATTCTTACCAAATATTTTTATACCATTTGATATATCTTGTCTCTGTATTTTAAGAAACCTTTCAACTGGTCTATGGTTCATAAAGGTTATTGAAATAAAGATAATAATCAGTTATCATTGAAGAAAGAATTATTTCAAAATGACTTACACTTCATCTTCCAAGGATTGGATATATCTTACAATAGTGTTTATATAAGATTTTCTTTCCAGATCAGCTCTACCAATAAAAACATCACCCCATTCTGTATCTTTAAGAGGGAACAGATGTGATTTCTTGATTGAGTTGATGAGAACAAATTGAGTCTCTAAAACATTCTGAAGTTCACCCCTTGCTGATAAATAAAGCTCAAAGTCTTTTTAAATTGGATGATATCAGTCAAGGTTGCAGCTTTTGTTTGATCAAAATGGTTTGTCTACGCACGCAAAATCCAAAAAGCAAAAAGCTTTTTATGATAACTGATAGGCCAATCTCTAGCTAGAGAGATACCAGAATGACTCAAATGATGTTGCATTCTTGAAAAGTTTCTAATTCCTCTATCATTCAGAAGATGAGCTCCAAGGTCAGATCAGTAAGCTTCAAGGTAATCAAATGATCAAAACATTTGCACACTTTTCTGATTGAATTTCATATAAACAGTTCCAAATTTTCTTCCCATATAAGGCAATCGTAGACTCAATTCTAAGCTTTAGGGAATGAGCAAATGCTGTCGGTGCTGTACCAATTATATCCAAGCGATTCAATTGTAGGTCTGCCAAGAAGCTCATAATCTTTTGTGATATTTCAATTGGAAAATCGTTGGAGGTTGATAAATGATATATATGATCTAACATGATGAGTTTTTGAGGAACAGTGTAAGTAGAATGGATTGTGCTTCTCGATGGTGGTGAGCAAAGGATTTTGTTAAAATATGCGATGAGATTTTTGCTCCAGTTTTTTGGATCTGATGATAGAATTTCGATCAGATCGTTCTTCACGACATTTTGAAATCCACCACTGCCACTGCCAGAACGGAAGTCGTTGCCAAAACCTGGAATGGATGGGTTGTCAAATCATATCTTACCAAATGTTTAGAACAAAAACTCACCCTTCTGAACATGTTGAACAAGTCTATTTGATAAGTCTGGGTGTGATATAATTGCTTTATGTGTGGAACAGGGTTGGGTCCGAGTTTTAATCAGCATTAAAGGCTTTTGTTCAAAGAAACGAAATCGAGTACCTTCTTCTACTGTGAGTGGCTCTTTCATTGAGCGCTGAACATCATTTGATGTTGTTATCATACTCGGGTATCCATGGACGAATGGCTGCAAGTAAATCATAACCTGCATGATGAGGTATAAGTAAAACTCCTTCATCCTTTTCTAAACCGTCCTTGAAAGTGTAAGGGTAATAGTCAAGGATGAAAGCTGATCCCAATGTGAAAAGGGTAGAAAGACGCTTTATGGATCATTGAGCTGAAATTGTTTCGCAAGACCTTTGGGTAGTCAAACCAGAGGTCCACACTATCTCAAACATGAAGACACCCATGTTCAATTGATTTCAAACGAGAACATTCCTATGATTACTGTTACTGATTTCGAAGTTTGCAATGTATCTTGATATCATAATATGATCGAGGGTTTGGTTGATAAATATGTGTTCCTTCCTATGGTTGGAATAATGTATACATTTCATACACGAGCGACACGCAGTAGAGACCCCCAAGGACCCGTGGCGAAAAGGCTATCATAGAGATGAAGATACAAACATGAGGCAAGTAGTATTTGAATAATTTGGCAACAATAACAAGCCTGAAGTAAAACCAATGATACATGGGAGCAAACTCCAGAGAAAAGGTCAAGAATAGGGAAGCCCGTTCAAAGGCCAGAAAGAAGCACATTGTGTCAAAAATCTTGAGATTAATACTCATATGGGTTGAACATTGCAAGTTCTGCAAGGTCTTCTTGGACAGGCTGGGACTTGTCTGAGCGGTCCAATTCAACGGGCAAAAGTAGGTTATGTAATTTCACGTGGGCTTGAAGTTGTGAGTGTTGTGCATGACTGTCATGTGACATGTCACACAGGATGTCACAAACCTACACATTCTCCAATCGACAAAACTTCACCACAACCGATCACCACAAATTTCAAAAAAAAATCATTCCAGCTCATCACCCATAACTCTTCAGATTGTGCGACTCGAAAAGCTCCGTCGGAACGAAAGGAAGAAAGCTCATGAAGAAAATAGGCGCTACACGAGATGCTCCAAACAAGAATTGCTGACCCCGGACTCTCATCATTCTCCGGCCAGTCGCCAAATGATGAATCGAATCAGAACATCGAAAGCAAGAGAAGAAAACGAGCGTTGTGACAGGGCTCCGAAGGTGAGGTATTATTCTCCACCGCCTCCCACAAGTTCCTTTTATCTATTACTCATGCATAGTCACTCCAAGCTGATTGTGACAATCCTCCCGTTGATCAACCGAATGTAACTTTCAGTTGGCTAGAAATTCGGATTCGCGATAAACTTCTAGTCACGCATATGCTTCGTACCTACTTCGAATTGACCGACACCCGGATGGCTATCATTGATGTTCATTCTCATCCGTAGAGTTTAGTATCAATACTAAACCACAACCTGCGTTGATCTATAAGCCAAGTTCCGTCGTTCGGCTAACTAGGGAGCGCACATATCTTCTGTGAATAGCTCGGACGAAACAAGACAAAGTAAGCCACTTGATCTGTGTAGTTATTCACATTTTTCCATTTTTTTGTCCATTTCAACCAAGCGACTGTGCATAAAGATCCAAACCCCACAAAAATCCAAGAATGATGTCAAACCTGATACTTCCGATAGCTACAGCTTCCTACAACGATTGATTTTGATCAAAGGTTTCTTACTCATAGACAAGGATTAGTTTGACTGATCTGAAACAATTGTGACAGTAAAGAATCTCATATCCGGTCTTTTGTAAAAACTTGATCTTGGTTGATCAATCTTTGTTGAAGTCCCAAGCTTCTTATTTAATTAAGTTGCTTGATGTAGCTTAATGAGTTGAAAGAATTAAAGAACGGAAAGCTGATTGGATCAAGGAATAATGTACATATATATGCATCCTCCTTATGATGGTATTTGGGAACTTATAGCGTGCTCGCTTGGCAATATTCACTTCGTTCGGTCAACCAGACTCCAGATAATTGGCTACTTTGTGCTTGACTTATGATCAAAACAACTGACTTGATTTCCTATCCTTCTTTTTTGTTTACCAGTTTGACACGACGTACGCATCACCGCGCATCAACACGCGCAAACCCTGCACATTTCCATCTCAGTGGTTCGTTGCAGCTACTGGAGTCGTTTGGGTACATCTTCTTTTGCCTCTTAAACTCAATACATCCTCTAGGCTTTTGGAGTTAGAAACATCTCTCAAAACTAAATACCATAGAAAAACTCGTGCAAGAAGCATCTTTGCGACAGTTGGCACAATGTTTTACCAAACTCTTCGTGCATTCAATCAAGTTTCTTTGAAAATCCAAATCATTTATACCCACTTCGTCACATCCCACCTTCTTGTACCATCATTGGATCATCCTTATAGCCTGATTTTGGATAGGTGAAGCAAAAGAGAGCAAAAGGCTATCTATCATCCTTATGTTGTTATGCTCAGCAAGCTTGAGTTTTATCTCGACTGTTGTTTCCTAGTTTTTCACCCAGAGCAGGCTAGCCTTTTTGCCAACTGTGATGTTTGTTCGGTGACATCAATTGTGATCAGAAATGGCAGATGTGCTGTGATGCAGTTTGCTGTGCAATTATTGAGCACCTCCAGAGACTTCTTCCGCCGAGCCCCAGACTCTTGGGACGAATCTGGGAGTTAGTTCTGGTGCAAAAAAATGTGATGCCTACATACATGCGGCAACACCGGATAAACCAAACACAAATCAAACAAAAAGTTACGTATGGCGGATTGACTTTTTGGTGTTGACCGAACAACAGCACACACCCTGTTTCATGAATGTGAATAAAGAAAGTGCTGTGAAAACCACATCACCTCTTCAGAAAAGGGGTGACCTCAAGATATAAACCAGTTTCATGGACTTGTTCATATCGGTCGATTTGAATATTAAGCGCCAAATAGCGACCCAACATCATGTTTGAACCACACTTTTTTGGTGACGCGCAGGAGCAAAACCTCTCGCTAGCTCTCGCTCAATTGACTCCAAACGTGTTGAAAAGCGATGGAAAAGTTGTAGAAGATGTGCATGCTCATTTTGTCACCTCGGGGCACCTTATTCAACTACTTGAAGTAGCAAATAGACTGTACCATACAGCTGCTGGCAGCATCACCTGCCTCATCTCGATTCGTCTCACTCATCTCGCGAGTTGGGTACCGTGACTACACATCTTACCAAGAAGATTTTTCAAAATACATAAGTGGCTCTCAAACCTGACCCAGTTTCAAAAAACCCGGTTGCCCCAGTTGAATTTTTGGCTGGGAGCTGTCAACAAATGTCAACTTGATACACAAAGTTACTGCCAAAAAACAACTGGGTCAACTGGGTTTTTTGAAAACCGGGGCAGGTTTGAGAGCCACTATACACTCAACTTAGCCGGATAAGGCTTAAGAACCCCTACGGCACCTACACACGACTTTCACAACATAGCACTGTGTAGCATCAGCCCAGCGGGGCGTAGTGCAGCCCCGACTCCCTATACACAACATCATTCACCTTCTCAAGTCCAGGACCACACCCTTGAACTCGACTCACCACCACAACTCAACTCACCACCACAACTTGACTCACCTTCTAACTTCACTAACCACCACTACTGCTCTATGGGGCGTCGCGATTACAATGACGCTGGATTTGATGTCGATTTGTTTGATGATAAACCAACTCGTCGAAAAAAACCCGGCACCACACTAGCTCCCATTTCCCGTGATGAAGCGTTAAAGATTAGTCAAGGCCTTGGTTTCATGGAACCCCCACAAAATCCTCCCCTTCAACCCAGTTCTGTAGACGACGATTACAATTGGGAGAACATCATTGATACACCTCATATCAATGATGACATCAGGTCCGATTCCTCGGGAGATCAATATGCTACTCATCAAAAATTGCTTCGACATGCCAAAGCCCGAGCCAGGCTCCAAAGCAAGTGGAAGGCTGTTGAAACAAAACTCACCGCAACTTACCTCCACCTTCAACAACATACACGCAATTGGACCAAAGCAGACTCGTATCTAGGCAGTCAGTTCCAATGCGAGTGCCCTCCTGATAAACTTTGAAACCGATGTGTCGACCTAATTGACCTTCTCAGTAAGCCTTTTTCTCTATTAACTTCTTTATGATTTAATTCAAATTATTGACTCTTGTCTTGAATTCTTACCTGGGTCACACAAAACGCCGACTCACGTTCTGTGAATGTGTACCTGACGTTATCTGCCTGCTTCATCTGGGTTACATAGCCGGCTCTCCTCAGCACCCTCGCACTGCCTTCACGGTCCGGCTTGTTCAATTTCAACATCATCTGTGGAATTACACAGTAATATCAACCTCGGGATTCATTGATGCACTGATGGCATTTCTGGACGATCAATGCCATTCAAGATTGTCACCTCAACAGCTCAAGGGCAAATACAAGAAGAATTTGAATCGTAGCCTTAGACGTCCTTTCACTCAGACAATAGATATATATCGTCAAATCCTATATCATCAACAAAAGTTATACAAAGAAGGACTTCAATTAAGTGCACTTGATATTTCTGCTGCTCGATGTGCTCGATGCTTTGGTCCAGCAGAGGCCGAAGTCAAAACTTCTCCTGATGAACCAGACTTCATCATTTCCATGGACGGTAATTTTCAACATCGCCACCAATCCCATGCTAGCAAGGACAAGATCCAAGACAATCAATATCCAGATTTCTTCATCCAACCTTCCAAACTCGAACCACATGTTGATGCTTGTCAAAAAACTGACGCTCAAGCCAACGACATCAAGGTATGTAACCTCGCTTTATCATTTCAAGTCACAATAACACGTACTGATGGTATTTGCATTCTAGACTTCCTGTTCTGATTCGCACACCGCTGCTAATGATGTTTGCAATAGCATGTCTTGGGACAGATGCGATGACACAGGTCTCTTTGCAGGAGCTTGTCGTCATGATGTACCACTTCACTTTGTGAATATTTATCAGAGTGGCGAAAAGTGAGCTTTCTTTTATATTGCGCCAGAAGAGATGAAAAATAACAAATTCCTTTCACTTCAGACTGCATTATCCAGTAGCAATTATCCAACAGCTTTGAGAACTCTACCCCGATAAGCATATAGGTGTACTATACAATATTGGTTGCCACTTGGGTGCGCACATAGCAAAAGTAAGTTGATACATTTCCTTATACCCCTTTTAGCTGAAACTAATCAACGTGAAATTGATTTTCAACCACAGAGTGAGCTATTTTCCCCTGACGATTTGAAAAAAATGACGTTTGGAACTTTGGTTTTCCACGCCTATGTGCATCAGTGGGCTTGTCAAATCAAGTTCCACCCTTGCTACAACAAAAATTGGGGACTTTTGGACGGTGAGGGCCTTGAGAGGCTACGGTCATTCTTATCAGCTCTTGTAGCTTCACTTCGAATCTCCACTCGCCATCATCGAATACTATCAATAAACTGGCGTGCCATCTTCTATTCTTCCAGGGTTAATGAAGGATGTGGTAAGTTTTAGCTCTCTGGGTAAAAATATGACTGCTGAAGCGCTTTGATACAATAGGACTTTGGCTTCAAAAAAGATATCGAAACACTGTCGACGTTCTGATGCAAGCTCAATCCGCACTCACCACACTCTTTGGGATGGCTAACCCAAACCAACCTGGTGAAACTTACACGGCTGCTTTGTTCCGTGGGCAGTGGACTTTGGAGAGGGAAGCATACAAAAGTAAACTAGTAGTCATGCAGCAGCAAAAGCTGAAGCTTGGTCGACTATTATCCTTACAAGATGAGCTGATCGCTGAATGGTAAGTAGATGTATGAATACTTATGTGGAAATATCATTAACCGTTTTGGGTTTTGACAGGTCAAAGCCAGTACTTACAGCGGAACAGACCATTATCCGGCTTCGAACAACAGCTGAACTCGAAGAGAAAATTGCCAAGCAGGTCAAAAAAGTTGGCACAGCAGATGTACCAGTATGCGATAAGGAGAAAGAAGCCTTCTTGAAGCTGTGGTACAGCAAGCATGAAGTTGGACTCAAGTATGTCGCCATATGTGAGGAAAAGCGACCACTTCAACAGAGTCGCTCAGATGGACATTCATCAAACTTAGGTAAGCATTCAATTTGAGACTGAATTTGATACAAGTTGGAGCTCATAACTCTCATCTGACACTAGGTCATAAGGGCCAGACAAATCTCCTGTTGGCAGTTCGGAGGCATGCAACCAAGCTTAAAAAATTGGTTGATACATATCACACTTGTTGGGCACAGTATCACGCCGAATATCCAGATTGTCAGCTGCCTGCAGACATCGATTACAACCAATTATTTGAGATACAAGCCGACCATCCATTCTGGAACGACTCGCTTTTCACCAACGTCCAAGCGCCTTGGGCAGCTGATCCGAACACTAGGCATGGGATGCAACAGATTGCATATGCTGACCAAGCAGAAGAAGAGTTCCGGCGTCTCGGCTGGGAAGTTCGCCAAGCTATGCGATGGGCAACAACTACTCACACTTGTGTATACAACGCGCTCCTTTCTCTAGAGTCTGCTACCCCTGACCTTTCAACACCTCTCCTTTCTCACCCAACCCTTTCACATCTACCTCCACAGGCTTGTCAAAGTGCAGCTACGGTGGTCATCAAGAATCAATTTGTCAAAATAACCAACTTACAGCTCCTATGGCACGAAGGCCTACTCGAAGTCTTTGCTCAGACCCAAACCCAAACCGGTGACACCGAGCTAAAGACAACTTGGGACAGCCAAGCCAAGTTTATCTCGACTCTCCATGAAGAACGTAATATATCTATGATCCCGGGTGATTTCGACAGTCCAATAGTTACTCCTATGGATGAAGAGGCTATTGCGGACGATTATGTTGTATATTATGGTGCAGACGATGAAAGTGATAGTTCTGATGACGAGGATGATGATAAGATTGATGCGCTTGTACATGAGCTTGATCAGGTGGATATCCATTCTGCTGTAGACCCGGCAACATTGTTTATGACATAGTCCTAATGTATATTTTACAATACAAAATGAAAACTTATGAGAAAAAGATGGTGGAGAAACGATATCTCATGAAATTAAAAATGAGAATGTATAGTTCCAATTTCCATACATTATATCTATCATTTGTTCTCTTTGAGTCGTTTGTAGTATTTTTCTCATTGCAATACATACTGGGGATCTCGAATCCAATCATAGTATTTTAAATCTTATTAAAAGTTCAAGCGAGAAACAAATGTTAGTTTGAATTTCATTCATCCAAATGAAGAACCAACTCAGCATCAATGCAAGCTCTACCCTTGATCTCAAACTGTTTGTATCACAATTATTCTACATGAATTAAATTGAATCATTGTTGTCTTGTCGGTCCTTGTTTTATTTGACTTTGTAATATGCCTTTCAACACTGGTTATAATAAACAATATGATGTGTCAAATACATCAGCTGAGAATTCGATGAAAATGATCATATGATGCCATTTTGAGACCACTTGTCACGATGAGAATGGCACAAAATGGGTACAGCTCACTCAATATCGATCAGAATTTGATGATCAAAAGATGGAAATTATTCTGAAAAGAAAAACATGAGGGGTTTAATATCAGGTTCTGCGTGAATTCCGTACCCTTGATGGACAATTCATACATTTTGTGAAAACTCAAAATCACATAAGTTGCACAAAATGACCACATCTCCTTCAATAAGAATCCATCCGGAATTATTCATTAATAAACATTGTCCAGAATGGCTTTTTTTGATGAGTTTATTATTATACTTTTGACAAAAAAATTCATCTTGATTCGGTTTACTGAATCGAGGTTGTTGTGATCCCCTCTCGGTTAACCTCAGTTAAACCAGTAAAATCCTCATAACTCAGGTGAACATGATTATGAGGGCTTCTCGATCATTGAGATTTGTTTGCAATGTACTAAAGATTATTGGCAAAAAAAATTATCATCCTTGGATGAAATCTCATTTGTTTGTAAGGTGTTGTGTTGTCATCCTTGACGTTAAAAGCACAAATATGTGCATTCTTGAGCTGATTTTTTTGAGAAATTTAGAAGTCACATTTAGCTCCAAGTTCAATAATAAACCCCCCCTAAAAAACCCCCAGGAAATCACTGGAACAATCCTTGACCTCATAAGACAAAAACTGGCTGAGATATGGGCATAGAAAAATGCGTCTCAAAACTCGAAATGTGAAAAGGGGTGTCAAGAAGGTATTTTTTTCAAGAATTCTCTTATTAAATGGAAAGTCAAATGGAATTTCAAACAACTTTCATTATGAAACTTCTGAGTTTGGACCAAAATTGAAAGAGATACGGGCAGTTTGTCACATTTACACCAATCCAAAAAATGACAAAAACCTAAATATGACCATCCAGACATAATATTTTGCAAAGATGGTCCTATTAAACTCTATTTGAAATTTCCTTTACAAAAAAAAATTATATTCGACCATTAAGTTTGAACCAAAATTGAGTGATTTATGCGCAATTTGAGCCCTGAGTGACCCCCAAAACATCACCAATACCTTCATTTGACCACCAAATAGAGTGATTATTCAAAAACACTCTTAATAGACTCTAGTTGAAATTAAATTTACAACAATTTTCATTATTAGACCATTAATTTTTGATCAAAATTGTGTAAGATATGCCCATGTTGACACTTTTACATGCACACAATTCAACATAACTTTTTCATCCTTGGTCCTAATAACTTGAATATTGGCTCACTTTATCCATAAATAGTGCATCTTCCTGATGCTACCATCATATTCCATCATATTAACCCTCTGACATATGTGGCATTATCTACAAACTCATATGTCCCTCCCACTCAGTGCATGTCTGGTAACTGGTTCAGAGTGGAAACTGAACATAACAATGCTTTGTTTTATCATGTGCAACGCACATTTCAGGATATGGGTTTTTCAAACAAAAATTGAGACACCAAAACAGAATTTTAGATCCTTTACATCTTGTTCAAATTGCTGTTTTGGTGTAACTGAAGTGAACCATTTGATTGCGCTTTGGGTATTAGATGCTTTTTGACAAATGAATGTGTCTATCAGGTTGGAGGATGAAGAAACATTACATTTCAACATATCATTCTATATGATTTTGTTATGATCAGAATATTTGATTGATCTTTCCAACGGTCTTTGGGCTTGAATTTTTACCAAGTTGGCATTCTCAAGTCAGAAACACGGGTCAATTTCAGATGGTCAGAAACCTAGTTCTACCAATATCAAATGGTCAGAAAGTCGTGGTTTTGTCAATTTCAAATGGCACAGTGCTTGAACTGAATCTTATCCTTCAACCTTGAAAATTTTCCGTGATATTCTCTTTGCACACAGAACTCGACAATGCACAATTATCATCCAGCTCCATACAACCAGCAAAATCATGCTCAACCTCAATCACAAATGCATGGTGGTGCACGTGGTCCTCAAGATCAGCCTGGCTTTTATCCCTCGGGGTTTATTGGTCACAATCAGCAGGGTCAAGTTCAACTTGATGATCAAGCTGCTCACGTCTTCTTGCTGCAACAACATGATGGTCAACAAAGTCGTGCTCAGCAACCTCACAGCCTTTGCGATATGCTTCCCGGACCCAACTCAGCTCAGCCGGACCACAACAACAATCTTTACCACCCTAATGATTATTCTAACTCTACGTATCATTCTTCTAACTTCAATAACTTGACCACACGTGGTCAGCAAAGTCATGAATATAGTCACCAGTTTGAACAAAGTCAGGCTCGACAAGTATCAAACCCAAATCTCGGTGACATACCTTCTGCTGCAAACAATCAACGTGTCGGTTCGATCATTGCTCGTGTGCCTCAATTAACACCGCCTATCATAGGGGAATCAAGTGATCCAAGCGCTATCAACAGAATTGGCCAACCCGGGCATACACATAGTTCCTCCACAGGAACTCGTCCTCAAAACCACCAGCCTCAGACGACTCAGACAACAGCGCAGAGGCGCAGAAATGGCCGTCAACCTCGGGTTGAGCCTGCTAGCGTGCCTCAATTACCACCGCCGATTGAAGCTAATGCATCTACTAGCCTGACTACGCCCGCATCAACGCAGACGCAGGTACCGGTACCTCCAACTACAAGGGCTACTGTCAATTTGTTCTTACCTAACTCGCTCAAAGGAAAAAAAAATACTCAACAACCGACATTAAACATCCCAACAGCAGATGAGATGATGCAAAAGACTTCGGTAGAATTGAGGATGCTTTCAGAAAAGCATGCTACCAAAAAGGAGACCGTACCACCAGCTTTAAAAAATCATTTCATGAAATTACACGAAGACCTCGATAAGGTATTAGCAATCAATTGCATAAACCACCAGGTTTCGGTCAAAGCGGTTTGTAAATTATGGTATGTTGTATCAATCAATCGATATGAAGTTATACAAATACACTGATATAAATGCACTGATCTACTACATCATAGGGGTGAAAGGGGGGCGCGCAGAGGTGCAAACAGTTTCCAGCGGTGGTATAAGAGTGAGGAGGTTAGTGCAATATTCAAAGAGTGTAAGTTGACTTGCTTCTTCAAATAACACATGTATCATAAATTAAAATCGGTATGATAATTTTCCAGCCTCAGGTGTAGCGAATGGACAAGGCTCAATTCTGGCTTCGAGTATATGGAACAATAAGTCACAGGAAGAGAAAGACTCGTACAAGCTACAGAATCAACCCATAATCAGCGCGACTACGTCCAATTCGATCGATTCTGCACCCGACGCCGAAGGTGGAACAGCAAGAACAGAACTTGTCTCCAATGCGCGAGCTAAAAATATGTCTTTGGCTAATGCGCGAACAGCTGTAAACAACTTCATGATCAAGTGGCAAACCGAGGTCGGTTTTTTAATTCATAGGAAGCAATGCTTACCATCACTGACTAATGTATGATTTCAGGCCAACAATATGGCTGCAACATATGAAGGTAACTTTGTCATGATGGGTGTGTCGAATTTTTTAGGCAAGGATTCTTACCAGGTTGTCCGAGCCACGCCACGGGCTCTCAAGTGGGTGGACCATGATAGGATATGTAACCCAAAGAATCATTTTGCCGCACAATTACATGCATTCGTGACTGGAACTCAGGCTGGCCTACTCAATTTAAGTCAAACTAAACTCGATGGTAAGTCTCATATGTTGTCTCCACCAGGTGTTTACCTACTGACTGGTATATTCTACTTACACAGACAGAGCGAAGTGTTGAGAAGCCCTGACCGAACTGATTAGTGAGTCAATTTGGCTAAAATCTTGCTTTAATATTTTGTTGACTTGCTATCTGATCTTTCGCTTAGGCACAAAGACACAAGGCCATGTCAACAAGTGGACATGGAAAGGATGTAAGGAAAAGCTAGAAGAGTACGGCTACTATGTACAACTTGCCTTGGATTCAAAGTCTTGCATCAGTTATATCATGCAAGACAGTAATCAACTAACCCAAACACAAGCTCGTGATGTGTTGGATGATATTCTGCACAACAAAATTCTAATCCTGGAAACTGAGGCGGGTCCTAGTACTACTGGTCCTAATCAAAAGGTCAAACGCAAACGCGCCCACGGTCCTGATGAATCTGCCGCTGAAGACGAACCCACTCCTGTCATCAACACAGCAACCGACAACAACACGCCTCCTATCGTAAATCACTCAGCAAATGATGACGCGCCCGCCAATGATGCACCTATGATCATTACCGATAACACATCAATTTCTACACCTGTAGATACGACTTGAGCTGCTGATTATCAGGATCCCTCTCAGTCTATCAATATCAATATCAAATTTTATGTCCTCATTTGTCGTTATTATAAGAATTCTCTCTCAGTCTCTCAGTCTATCAATATTGTTACTATCTTTTCCTCATTTACTCGTTTTATCTTTAGATACTATCTTTTTGTATTTAGTCGTGTTATCATTTAGATTGTCATTGAACCAGATGCAAATATTCATGTACTAATCCCTTACATGATTACTCAATGCAATTAGGAAAGTTTGTACTTTCGTATCTATACATGATTGTAGCGGATTGTTTCACTGCAATCTTTTAATTTCATCGGGATGGGGGAGCATATTGATTTCAATGGTTTTTTCATTACTTCGATTGTCTTTTCAAGTAGAGTCAAATGTGATCATGATTGATCAATTTATGATTTGATTATAGCATTAGAAGTTGTTGAATTGTTTGATGAGGAGAATATGAGATGATGACGATGTTACCAAGTCGGTTCTGAGGGTGACCGCTGATACTTTGAAATACATTGCGCATCAATTTGAGACAAGATACAAAGTAATACAAAACATAATCTACAAAGTAAGAATCACTCCATGTTGAATTTTTCCTTAATCATTAGCAGGGTATTTATGACCTTCCATTGGATGATTTGATTTCTGAACAAACAATTCTTCGAATCTTTGTTTTTGAAAAATAATCAATCGGGTGTTTTTATGTAAAAATTGAGTCCTTTGATACCTACAAAAAAACCTTGATCGATGCAGGTCTAACATGAGTAGTGGTGGTTAGTGAAGTTAGAAGGTGAGCTGTGTTTTGGTGGTGAGTCGAGTTGTGGTGGTGAGTCGAGTTCAAGGGTGTGGTCCTGGACTTGAGAAGGTGAATGATGTTGTGTATAGGGAGTCGGGGTTGCGCTACGCCCCGCTGGGCTGATGCTACACAGTGCTATGTTGTGAAAGTCGTGTGTAGGTGCCGTAGGGGTTCTTAAGCCTTATCCGGCTAAGTTGAGTGTATGTATTTTGAAAAATCTTCTTGGTAAGATGTGTATTACTTTTTCTAAAATGAATGGCACCCCTGGCCCGAGAAAAAAAAAGTTTCCAGTTGCCGCAGTTGCCGCAGTCACCGCAGCTGCTGTGATGAATTTTTTTTTGCTTGAGAATGATCCATCACTCCTGATTTGAATTTCCTTCTCTAGCTCTTGTTCTTTGTACAATCAAAATCAACCATGAGCGAAAACCAACATCTGGATCCAATCTTTCTCGGTATCAGCCAAACCAACAAGAACAAAAGATTGTCTTCTAGATCTGAATCATCTGGACCAGAAGTCTTAGCAGATTTGACTAATGGGGTATGTCTCACTTTCTGTATCTATTCTTTTTTCTTATATCTAGACTGACTCGCCTCAAAATTTCAAAGGTCAATTGTGCTTCAAAGACCAAGGGCAACTCTGAAAATCGTGCAGCAGAAGATGAAGATGGCCCCTTCAAGTTCAACTTTAACTGCGATTTCTACGTGCCCAACAAGCAAAACAAGTCTGGGTTTCACCAAATCACCTGCTCCAACTGTACGATTGAATGGGATTCAAACAATTTCAATTTAGATGAACTCACGTTAAAATGCGCTGAACTTGCCAAAAGTGACAACACAGGGGCGCACATCAAGTCTGTACTCAACAAGGTAATTTTCGATGAGGAGAGTGGGGGGGTTTGGACTCTATACATTGCTTCAAACCACAGCTTTCCAAAGACAAACAGGAACCGCAAAGTGTTAGATCACAGCAATTTTCAATCGTGGGTTGAAGAGGCACATGCAAGTTATCCTAAAAATAAGGCTGGGATTTCATTTGTAGCTCCGCATCCGAGCAAGCTCAAGGCACGAGCCGAGGCGGTGAGTACAGTGTCCAATTTATCCCTGGATTTGATGCAGCTGACATCCTTACCTTGCAGGCTGCCCAAACTGATGCTGTGATAGCGCATGCCAAACAACAGGAAAAGCGTCAGGCATTGAGGCCATCAGATAACTTTGAATCTGATCCTGAGGTGAGTCTGTAACCATCTTCATTCTCCAACGTTCTCTCTTTGGATGCTTACATCATCTCCACATCCAGAACGGTGATTCAGACAGCTCAATGAACTCTCAAAATGATGCTGTAACGGCTTTTGCAAACAAACTCTTTGAAAAACATGAAATGAACAAGAAGTACAATAAGACATACCCTCCGATCATTGACCCAACGGATTCAACTTGGTATTTCGCCTTGACATCGAAAAAGGCTAAAGAGTGGGCCAAACACCGTGTAAGTCCAGACTGTCTTTCAATTCAATTATAGTGTATTGATTGTGAACAATTGAACGTTAAACTCTAGTACGATGATGAGGTTAGCCTCACTACCCCACCGGCTCATTTCAAGTATGATCTCACAAAGACCTCAGCAAAACAGCATGACTCCCCTCAACCATCGTCATCGTCTGCCCCCTTTAATCCTGCCGGGTTTACTGAGCTACTTGTGGGAATGGTTGCCGCCATCGAAGCTAGTCGGTCCCCTACTAAGCCTCCAGGTCACGAGCAAGAACCAAATAATCCAATGACACCTCAGCCAGCAAAACGACCAGCCAGTCCCGAAGCCCAACGAGCACTCTCACCTTCGCCTCCTCTTGCCGATGATCCTTCCAGCGAAACCAGGATCAACGGATTCCTTGAATTCTGCAAGTTCTCCGCTGAAAAGACAAACAACATCAAGCGGATCCTTGAGGAATTGTCGGTCACAGACTACCGACTAATCAATGAAAAAGAGTTATCACGACAAGATCTTCTTAACAAAGGACTTCCTAATATCACTGCTACAATGGTCTACAACAATGCTATTAAATATAGAGAATCTCAGATCCACAAAAGAACCGAGGCCAAAAAAGTTAGACAAGGCCTCTAATTACCAGATTGATCAAAGGAACCATTCTGATCTTTTTCAAATTTGATTATTTTACTACATATCTTATGATTTGTTGTGAGCACCAATGTCTCAATCACCACCCCTTTGTACATATATTGTTCAAAGATCCTTCCTCCTAAATTTGGTTCGAGTTGGTTTCTTGTAATGAAAAATGCTGTGTTAGCCATAGTAACCTATCTGAGTCAGATTGACCAAGATAGAAAGGTTGAATTATCGATCATCAAAGTGACCGATCAAGATAAAAAGTGATCTTGATTGGTCACTTCTTAAAAAGTTGCTTTGCAACTTGATCGACTTAAAAACTAAAGTGACCGTGACCGCTCGAGATAAAAAGTGACCGATCAAGATGAGATGAAGAATCTCAATTGGTCACTTCTTAAAAAGTTGCTTTGCAACTTGATCAACTTAAAAACTAAAGTGACCGATCAAGATGAGATGAAGAATCTTGATTGGTCACTTCTTGAATACTTGCTTTGCAACTTGATCAACTCAAAAACTTGATCAACTTAAAAACCCAATATTTCATTTCAATAGTGAATCAATTGACTCTGCCTTCTTGTCTTAAAACACTTGGTCAGGATTAGGAAACCAAAAAACAACTATCATTTTTTAAAATAACTTGATCAAAACTTGTCAAATAAGCGGGTAGAAAGAAAAGACATCGGACATGAGATGAGAAAATACAGATATCAAAAGTCAAGATCCAGATTCTCATCATCCACATCACCATCCTCGTCATCAGTCATGGTATAGCCACATCGGTGATAAATTGGCTCTAATAGTTTGTCTACAAAAAGATCGTCAGCTACTCTTTCAATTGTTCTCACAGGATCGATAGTGACCGTCAACGCCTGAGTCCTTCGCAGTTTGGTCTTCAAGCAACAAAACCCTAGCTCAATCGGATTCAGTTCGGGGCAATAAGCAGGTAGGTATCGCAGAAGGATACCTGCAGAGCAGGTGTAGATTAGTCACTGATATTGGAGACAATCAAGCTATTCAAAGCTGAATAAGAAAAACAACGTACCT